GTGAGCCGAGATCATGCCACTGCATTCCAGCCTGGGTAACATGAGTGAAACTCCATCCCAAAAAAAAAAAAAAAAAAATATATATATATATAGAGAGAGAGAGACAAGGCCCTCCCAGATTCAAATGTCTATAAGCACCCAACCAGCATTTCTTGCGGACTGGGCCATCTTCAACTGACCCAACCAAGATGTAGGAGGAGAAATCAGAAGAATTCCTGGTCACAGCTGCACTGAGCAAGCAATAAACAGGTACATTCAGTTGCAGAACTACCATCAGTGTCAGAGACCAGGGCTTCTGCCCAAAGATGGCGATCCCACGGGATTTCCCCGTCTCCTTTCAATTCTTAGTATCACGGAGAGATGAGCCTCGGAGTTCTGCCCAGGATTTTACTGAAAGGGCAAACTCCTACATTTCCTTCTTTGGTCTGGGTTTGTCCTCTCTGGAGTTGTGGGACTGTTGATAAATTTCCCTGTGAGGACATGCCAACCTGTGCTGTGAAATGGCTTTAGGGTAGATCCAGGAAAAGAAGAGCAGTTACTGCGGTCACACTTGGATTTCTCCCAGATCTTAGAGCACCTTGTAAACAAAGCAGTTGTACAATGTGTCTCTAAACCAGAATCCTTTCAATAGTCAGTAGTGTGTGGTAGTGTTCCTAACTACACTAAGGCAGCAGGACTATCTCAGGCAGTCCAGGGCAGGTGGTCACCCCACGTGTCTACCCAAAGACTGCCAGTGCACTTTTCTTAGGAGCTGTTTACGCAGAGCTAGAGATAAAGGAAGCCGAGTGGGACCTACCTTGTTTGCTGTTTTTCCAGAATCTCTCACCTGATTATGTTGTTCCCTCTGCCTACTGCCAATTATTTGGGCTTGGTCTTAGATAGCCCATGTGCAGATAAAGAAGACTTGAGGGATGTGGAAGGGCTTTGGGATTGAGTTGAGTCAAAGGTGATGCTGGGGTTACCCACCACACAAACAGGCACAAGCCTGATGTTGAAATCACAGAAAAACCAGTAAACATCACTACTTAGGATATCCTTAAGAAAGAGATTCTCATTCTGGCTGACCTCATTTACATAACCATATCTAGACTGGCCCCACCTGGCCAGCAGCACCCACATTGGCAGAGACAGTGCAATTGGAGCTCATCACCAAGAGATTATCTGCTGGGCGTTCTAGAAGGAGATTTGGCACGCTTAGGGGCTCGTCTGCTTCTCAGGACTCTCACAAATGTCTAACCTTTTCAGTATCTTTATGTCCTCTCTGTGCACTCTATTTCCAGCGCCTCTGGGTTGGTATTTGATGGCTGCTGGGGATGAAGTGGGGCTTGTTACAGGCAGGAAGTAGGGCCCCTGCCCTCCAGCTTCCAACTTTCTCTGCCACTTCTTCTGTCATCTTTTCTTCTCTTTCCTCCCTCACCAGCATCCTGATGCTACATCTTCTCTCTCCTCTCCTGTGGTGAGAACTTTCTTTTCCGCATTGATCCCAAGTGAGGGGGACCTGAGTGTGAGGCTGAGGAAAGAGTAAGCAAATGTGGCTGGCTTAGCTCTGCCCATCATCCCAGAGACCTTAGAGATCCAGTCTGGGCTGGAGATCTCCTTACTTGTCCATCTTTCCATCCATCTGTCCATTCATTCATTCATTCATTCACCGATCAGAAGATTATTGCAATAGGCCATCCATCCATCCATTTGTTCATCCATCTGTCTGTCCATCCATCCACCTGTTCGTCCATGTATCCATCCACCCATTCACTCAGCAGACATTTATTGGGGCCCCACTCTGTACTGGTCTCTAGGCTCTAGGAATACAAGGAAGAATATAACTTGGATCCTGACCTCAAGAAGTTTACTAATCTAATGGGTAAACTAATGTCAGGCCCTCAAAGTCTTTCAGGAGCATGACGGAAAGTGTGTAGGGGACAATGAGTAACAAAGGATGCTTAAAGCGTTTTCCCTGGGGGAGAGCCTGGGGTCAAGAAAGATGATTAAGGGCTGGCTAGGGAATAAGAAGAAGGGGAAAGATCTTGGAACAGCATTGTTCAACCAGAGAATGGCAAGTTTATCTGCAGAGCTGACACCTGAGATGAAACACAGGGTTCAGTGAGAGATGGGGCCACTGGCTAGGCAGAGACCGGAAGAACATGGCGGACATTGCACACCACTCGGAGCGGGTGCACTGTCCTGAGAGCAGTGGGAGTACTGAAGGACCTTAAATAGGGAAACGACATGGGCAGTTTGAAAAACATTCTAGGAAGATGACTATGACTCCCTGTGAGGTGGGAGGAGAGCCAGGGGCACCCGTCAGAAGATTATTGCAATAGGCCGGGCACAGTGACTCACACCTGTAATCCCAGCACTTTGGGAGGCCAAGGTGGGCGGATCATAAGGTCAGGAGTTCGAGACCAGCCTGGCCAATATGGTGAAACCCCGTCTCTCCTAAAAATACAAAAAATTAGCCAGGCATGGCAGCACATGCCTATAGTCCCAGCTACTCGGAAGGCTGAGGCAGTAGAATTGCTTGAACCTGGGAGGCGGAGGTTGCAGTGAACCAAGATCACCCCATTGCACTCCAGCCTAGCAACAGAGTGAGACTCCGTCTAAAAAAAAAAAAAAAGGAACAGGCGATGGCCGGCAGTAGCCCGGAGGATGGAAAGTGGGGGATGGATTTGAGGGTTGTTGAGGAGGCAGAATCTGCCAGACTTGATAAGCAATTGT